ACACACACACAAAGATGTTCCAACTGCTGGTTCACTCCCCACCTGGTAGAAACCATCGCCCCTATGGGATGCCAGCGTTGCAGGCAGTGGCTTAACCCACTACACCACAACACAGACCTCATCTTCTTTATCCCCTTCTTGCAACAAGTCAGGATTTACTTCCTCTACAAAGTCTGTTTATGTTATCAGAGATAGGTGGAATAGAGGTTCTTGTTTTTGTGCAAGAAAGAATTCAGGCGTGAGACCGAGAGTAGTGGTAAGAAGGTGGCAAGGTTTAAGCCATGCCGTTGCTGACATGTTGAAGCAAATACACCCTGCTATGGTTGAATGTGACCCCAGACTTCATGTGTTAGTGACTTGGTCCCCAGTGCAGTGGGGCTGAGGGGTGAGGGCTTTGGAAAGCGAAAGCAGGATCACTCCATGGACTGAGAACTAACGGGTGACTGTGGGAGTGACCCGGCTGTAACTCAGCTCCCTGACATCCCTGCTCTGTCCTGCCTGGTGGTGCCCTCTGCCATGTTGTGTCGCAGCCAGAAAGCCCTCACTGGCGGCCGAGCAGATGCCAGCATCATGCTCATGGACTTCCCAGCCTGCAGAACCCTGAACCAAGTAGACTTCTTCATAAATCACGCGGCCACAGGTATGCTGTTGTAGCAGCAGAAAACAGACTAAGAAAATTAGTACCAAGACATAAGGCTGTTGCCAACCACAAATAATTGAAACGGAGGAAGTAGCTAGCTCTACAACTGGGGAATAGGCAGAGGAAGAATCTGCAGGAACAAGATTGAAAAAAAAAGTCTGTATTGCCAAGAATGGAGCATTAAGGGTGATTCTGGTGAGGACTCAGAAGAAAACTAGGCAAAGTCTGGAAGCTTCTTAGAGCCCATTGAAGCGATTGAGACTAGGTCACAGATGGGAGTATGGACAGTGCAGGCCGTCTCAGGAGGTCTCAGGTGGAACTGAGGGACAGGCATTGGAAGCTGGAGGAAGGGCCATCCTCACTATACTGTGCCAAGGACTTGGCTGACCGGTGTCCCCGCCCAAGGTTAGAGGTTAAGGGTGATGAAACAGATTACCTGGCAGAAGAAATTTCTAAGCAGCAAAACACTCAGGCTGTTATGTGGTACAATGAGAGAACAAAGAGATGGCTTGACGTGTTCTGACTACATGGGAACTGAACAGAAATATTTGGAAAACTCACGGCCTGACTGTGTGATGAGTGTAGAAGTCCATTCAGGTGAGCAAACTGAAGGCGGGGCCCAGCAACCTTTGCTAAGGGGATTAGTACAAAGGGAAGGGACCATCAGGACAATGGGAGAAAAACCTGGAAGGCTTAGAGCCAGCTCTGAATTGGCCCTTCCCAGCCCAGGCAGAGCTCTGGGAGGGCAGAAGGGTTTTGGGGGATGGCTCCAGCGTTCACTGCCCAGAGCCACTGTGGGGCACAGCTGTCCGCATCCTGGCCCAGACCTTCTGGGCCGCTCCAGCGTGGCTGCTTCTCTCTCTGTAACTCTGCCTTTCAAGTAAATAAAATAAATCTTAAAAAAAAGAAATTTTTCTTGAGTATCTATTATGTGCCAGAGACTACTTTAGATACTGAGGCTATGCTAGCCATGAGTGAAATAAAATACAGCAGTTAATAGAATAAAAGCCTGGGCCGGCGCCGCGGCTCACTAGGCTAATCCTCCGCCTAGCGGCGCCGGCACACCGGGTTCTAGTCCCGGTTGGGGCGCCGGATTCTGTCCCGGTTGCCCCTCTTCCAGGCCAGCTCTCTGCTGTGGCCAGGGAGTGCAGTGGAGGATGGCCCAGGTGCTTGGGCCCTGCACCCCATGGGAGACCAGGAAAAAGCACCTGGATCCTGGCTCCTGCCATCAGATCAGCGCGGTGCGCCGGCTGCAGCGGCGGCCATTGGAGGGTGAACCAACGGCAAAAGGAAGACCTTTCTCTCTCTGTCTCTCTCTCACTGTCCACTCTGCCTGTCAAAATAAAAAAAAAAAATAGAATAAAAGCCTGCTCTCAGGGAGCTTGTATTGCCAAGAAAGGATAACTTATTAAAGTGTTGGAGTAGAGGGAGCAATGATTATTGTCTTGTTGAAGTGTTATTTTATTATTGGGAGCATAGCCATTCTTAGATACTAGGAGTGAGAGTCTTACCCAAAACATATGGCCGTTCACTGAATGCTCACCATGGTGCCACCAATCTCACGGGGACTGGACAATCTCTCAGCTGGGGCTAAGAACTGGTTGGAAGACCCAGGAGATGGTGAGCTAAGCCACCTGGGAAACAGGGCTGTCAGGACATTAGCTCTTGTGTGGTAGAAAATGAGCCACATCTGCTCCCAACAAGGACGGAGGGGACCGAGACGGCAGGAACATTAGAAAAAGGCTCAGGGAGCCACAGTGCCACACTGCCTGCGAGGCTGGCATCCTGGGTGGGAATGCCAGTTGGTATTATTATTGACGTACACTATGCATACAGAAAAGTACACTAATCGTAAGTGCACTGTTCAGTACATTTTTCCCCACTTCACCAGCACTTGAATCAAAGAAACAGAACACCGCATTCCACAGAAGTCCCCGGGCTGGAGCAGAAGACAATCACGGACAATCACAGACTTCAAGCACCATGGTTAGTTGTGCCTTCTTGGGAACTGTGGAAACATAAAATCATACACTAGCTCCCCTTTATTTTTCTTTTTTTAAAATTTATTTGACAGGTAGAATTATAGACAGTAAGAGAGAGAGACAGAGAGAGAAAGGTCTTCCTTCTGTAGGTTCACTCCCCAAATAGCAGCTACTGCCGGCGCTGTGCCGATCCGAAGCCAGGAGCCAGGTGCTTCTTCCTGGTCTCCCTCGCAGGTGCAGAGAGACTGCCTTCCCAGGCCACAGCAGAGAGCTGGACTGGAAGAGGAGCAGCCGGGACTAGAACCTGGCGCCCATATGGGATGCCAGCGCCGCAGGCGGAGGATTAACCAAGTGAGCCAAGGCACCGGCCCCTCTCCCCTTTTATTTCTGCTTCCCTCCACTCAACATCATGTTGGTGACATCCACCTGTTGGTTGCTTGGAGTCGTGGCTTGTCCATTCTTACACTATGTGGTTATTCCATCGGGGGAAGACACCCTAAATCATCCAGTCTAATCCACATGGACATTCAGATTGTTTCTCATACGTGGTTATTATAAACAATGCTGCTACTAACATTCTAAAACATGGTTTTAGTGAAAAATATACAGAGACAGGCTAAGCTCCAGCCTGGGAACCTTCATCCCCATTCAGTGTTTGGTTCCAGTCACCGCTGCTCTGCTTCCTGATAATGGACACCTGGCTCAAGCAGTTGGGTTCCTGCTAGCCCTGCGGGAGACTTGGACTGATTTCCTAGCTCCTGGCTTCAGCCTGGCCCACCCCTGGCAATTGTGGGGAGTGAATGAGTAGATATACGGTAGATTATTATCTGTGTATCTGTCTCTGCCTTTCTCTCTCTCTGACTTTCAAGTAAATGAATACATTTTTTTTAAATTACACATTGTGTATATTCCTAAGAATGAAATTGCTGGGTCCTGGCTTTATCAGACATCACCAAACAATCTTCCAAAGTCACATCGGTGTTTCACACAGCTGTCACAAATGGCATTTTGCTATTCCTTATTTAGTAAAATATTTTGTTGAGGACTTGAACTCACTTTATCTACAACAAAAGTTTCAAAATGTATGCTTGGACCAGAGGGTTAGAGAGGGAACCCAGGAGATGGGGAGCTAGGACAGACTAGGACGAGGGTTAGCCAGTTCTCTCTGGACATCCCTTTCAAGAGCTAGCTGGAGGTGCTGGCTTTGTTTTAATAAAATGCAATGTTCCCTTGTATCGTTGAACTGTTCTCCAATGACTGGATTAAATTGTCTCATTATTTCTTAAGGCTAAATAATTAAAATGTGAGCTTAGGTGGAAAAGGAACTGATGTGTTTTTCAGCGCTTTAGCCTCAGACATAGCAGGTGTTTGGTAAATATTTGGGAAAATGAATGAATAGGGGCCTCACTGTGGCTTAGCATATTAAATCTCCACCTGCAGTGCCGGCATCCCACATGGGCACCGGTTCGAGGCTTGGCTGCTCCACTTCCGATCCAGCTCCCTGCTAACATGACTAGGAAAGCAGCAGCAGATGACCCAAGTGCTTGGGCCCCAGCACCCACGTGAGAGACCTGGAAGAAGTTCCTGGCTCCTGATTTCACTCTGGCCCAGCCCTGACTTTTGTGGTCATTTGGGGAGTGAACCAGTGGATGGAAGACTTCCTCTCTCTCTCTCCCCACACACACACCTCTGTGTCTCTCTTTAACTCTCCCTTTCAAGTAAATAAATAAAAAAAAAATCTTGAAAGAGAGAGAGAGAGAGAGAGGGAGAGAAAGAAAGAAATTAAGAAAAAAGAAAGAAAAAAAAGAAAAGGAAGAAAGAAATGAATGGATAAATAAATGACTGGGTTTCCCAAACTTAACAATATGTAACACGGTTTGCTGTAGCAGGTTTGGTTCATTATACAAATAGGAAGCCTGAGTTTCAATTTCAACGCCCCAGGCCCTTCTCTAAGCATACCCCAAACACCGTAAGGCTCTAGCCACGCTCTCTTGGGGTTGTGCGTGTACAGGGAGGCAGCCTGGCACCACCCTCGAGGTGAAAAAGCAGAGGTGGACAGAGGAAGGCCACACGCCTGTGTGTGCACGGAGAATGCAGCTGTTGCCGAACTGTTCCCGAGGGTGGCCGAGTGGCTCATTTCCATAGAGTATCCGTATAACCTCCCAAAAACCCATCTGCAGCTTCGTCTGTAGATAGATAAGGCTGTTCAGAGACGTGAAGTGAGTTGTACAACGTCACAACCAATGATTGCAAAGCCTAGATTTAAACATAGGCCTGTCTGAATCGAGAGCCTGAGATTTTTTAATTATGTGGACATAAATAATTTAAAAACTAAGTGTTCCTGGGCCCTCAAGTACACACAGTGCTTTTGCATTTGATTTTAATTAAGTTAAATACATTCAGTGCCAACTTTGTACATTTGTGTGACTTGAGCTAGTATCAAAATAATTTAGTTTCTCTGAATATCCTTTCCGCTTCTTCGGTTACCAGGCAGTTGGGTCTCTGATGATCACTGGAGGGAGGAACAGGAGCCTGAGTGTCAAGGCCAAGGTTAAGGGGGTTGGGGGTTCACGAAGGAGAGATGAGCCAGCATATGCCGGAGAGAGGAAAACGACTCAGCAAGAAACAGCCAGGAAAGGCACTTCAAGAGGAAGCCTGAGAAGTCTTTCCATTAGCGCTTTCTGCGATCTGTTACAAGGCCAACTCTCCAGTTCTCAAAAGCCAAAGAAAGCAGAATGAACCAGACCCGGATTGTTGGCAGGTGCTCGCCAAGCCGGCCGCAGAGCACATGGGCGGCTCAGAGTCACAGACGTGGCTGGCCACCACCCCAGGCACAGCCCTGCCCTCCGGGGTGGGCGATGCCAGCTCCTTGGCTGGGGCGGGGGCGGGGGAGAGGCCGGAAGCCAGGTGGCAACGCAGCAGTGAGCCGCGAGGCTTTGCAGAGGGAGAGACCGTGTCCTACAGTCCTTTGGCAAGCGAGGGGACTGCAGGATTCCTGGGGAAGGGGTGGGGAGTGAGGAGGAGAGGATCATTGTTGCAGGGCTCCAGCAGGGAAGGAAAAGCTGTAAACTTCTGCTTCTTGGCCCAGCTCCCAGCGCAGCTCTGCCTGGCACCGTCCAGTTGCCTGGGCAGTTTCCCCTCTTCCTCCTTCTTTTACTCCTGGGCTCAGACGGCCCACTGTGGCCCACCGTGGCCCCCAGCTCATGATTCAGACTGAAATAGCGGCCGCTTTGCATGCCACTGCAGGCTGCATTTCACTTCCTGTTTCTGTGAAAAGGACCTGTCAGGAAAGCAATACAAAATGTCAAGTTCCGGTCTGGCATTCCCCACTCACCTTGAATCTTGTAGCTTGACTTTTGCGGGGTTCCCACCCATGCCCAGAGTCCCCGCATGCTAATCGGCTTGTCTGGTTCAGAGAGAGCTGGGCGTGATGATGTCACAGCGCTGTGAGGTCACACTTTGCACCTTACAGCTCCTTCCAGGGGCTGGCCAGAGTCCCGGTTAGTCCCCCCATCCCGTTCTTGCTCAGGACTCCCCTATTGAGAAAAGGTGCTGTAAAGGAGATACCAGTTTCCTCCTCCTACACAGCTAGTGATGAGGCCTGGACATATTTTTGCAACTGTCTGGTCTGGAGACTCAAACTTACAAAAGTTGGCTGGTCCTTGTTAGTGTCTCTCACACACACCTGTCTTAAGATAGCTTAGCCTTTTTTTTTCCTGTCTTAGACAGAAATAGATAATGACTTCACACCACCTTTTGCGGTCACCTCCTTCTCTTGAACACGTTCCTGAATTCAGAACCACTGAGATTTTTCTCACAGTCCTGAGGAGCTGAAGCTCAAGAGTGTCTGTAAGACACAGGGAACTTGAACTTGGATATTTTTAAGTAAGGGAATTGTCACTGTCTACAGCTTTTCCCACCAAGGGATGCGTGTATCAGCATTTCTGGCCGTTGGGGCTGCTTAGAGGGGGCTAATATTCCTTGCAGACATGGATCGGTTTCTCTGACCCATTATCCAGCCCTTCACTTCCTGAGGAAAAATTCCTTGCCAGATATCCATATAGGCTTCCATATCCCTTTAGTCAGAAAGCCTCGTCCCATACGTGGTGAGGGAACGACTCGTGTGCTGAGAGTGGGGGAGTTGGGGCAGTCATTTGGCATAGCGGTGAAGATGCCACTTGGGATACGCACATCCCACGTCAGAGAGCCTGGGTTCGAGGCCCAGCTGTGTTTCCAATCCAGCTTCCTGCTAATGCTCACCCTGGGAGGCAGCAGGAGAGGGCGCAAGCACTTGGGCCTCACGTGGGAGACCTGAGAGTCCCAGGCTCCTGGCTTCAGCCTAGCCTCGCCCTGACTGCTGCAGGAATGTGGGGGATGAACCAGATGGACGAACTCGCTCTGTGTCGCTCCTTCTCTCTCTCTTTCTGTATCTCTGCATTTCAAATAAATGAAAACAAATTGTCTTTAAAAATTTTAGAAAAAGATCTGGGGAGTGATAGGAAAGCTAGGATCCAAATAATTAGAATTGATCAAGGACCAAGCTGAAAAATAAATGAACTTAAAGAGTTCACAAAAGAGGAAATATAGTGAGCTGAAAGACACATGGGAACATCCCCATCTTCACTGGTAACAAACAAATGCAAATTCTAAAAACCAGGTACCATTTTCATCTTTAAAACTCTCAAAAGTTATAAAAAGAAGGAAAAGAAAAGAATACCAGTGCCGGCAAGCACGCAGCGCCACAGGCATCCTCACGCCCTGCTGGCGGCGTGGAAGCGGGCATCACTTCTGGGACCACGTCAGTTATGTTCCCGTTAAATATCCCTGAGAAGGCGTGAGCGCCAGCCTGGGGGTTACCGTGCCCACCTCTCACATCAGGGTGCCTGAGCGTCACACAGACTCCTGCTCTTGACCTGAGCTTCCTGCTAATGTGCACCCTGGGAGGCGGCACTGATGACGCAAGCAGTTAGGTCCCTGCCACCTGGGTTGGGTTTCTGGCTTCTGGCTTCAGTCCCACCCAGCTCCAGACATGGCAAGCATTTGGAGAGTGAGTTAGCAGATGGATTCTCTCTCTCTCTCTCTCTCTCTCTCTCTCTCTCTCTCTCCCCTCTTTCAAATAAATAAATAAAATTGGATGAAAGAGGTCTTCCATCAGGTGGTTCACTTGCTAAAAAGCTATAATGGCTAGAGCTGAGCCAGATTGAAGCCAGGAGCCTGGAACTCCATCCAGGTCTCCCATGTGGGTAGCAGGGGCCCAAGTATTTGGGCCATCTTCTGCTGCTTTCCTAGGCACATTAGCAAGAAGCTGGATCAGAAGGGGAGCAGCTGAAACAAACCAATATGGGACACTGGCATCACAGGTGGTGGCTTAACCCACTGCACAACACTGGCCCAAATAAACCTTTTTTAAACAAAGATAAATGTTAGAGCAGGTATCTACCAGTTACAAGAACATTTCCAGGGAACCTAAAGCCCTCCTTAGTCTGAGATTCAGGAAAGCCAGCTAAGGAAAGTAATAAAAACACTTCAAAAGTATAATTAAGGGGGCCAGCACTGTGTTGTAGAAAGTTAATCTTCCACCTGTAGTGTTGGCATCCCATATGGCCGCTGGTTCAAGTCCCAGCTGCTCCTTTTCTGATCCAGCTCCCTGCTAATGCACCTGGGAAAGCAGCAGAGGGCGGCCCAAGTACTTGGGCCCCTGCACGGATGTAGGAGACCCGAAAGAAGCCCCTGGCTCCTGGCTTCGGATCCGCCCAGCCTCAGCCATTGTGGCCATCTGGGGGAGTGAACCAGCAGATGGAAAATCTCTTTCTCTCTCTCTCCTTCTCTCTCTGTATTTCTGGCTTTCAAGTAAATAAATAAATCTTTTAAAAAAAATAAGAAAGTATATTTAGGATTGACAGCTAATGGAATTTCTTTAAGGGGGTATGAAAATTTTCTAACATTAGATAATAGAGATTGTTGTGTGACCCTATAAATATATAGAAAACACTCAATTGTACAGTTTATTTTTTAAAAAGATTTTATTTATTTATTTATTTGAGAGACAGAGAGAGAGAGACAGAAAGGTTTCCAATGCCGACATCCCATATGGGCGCTGGTTTGAGTCCTGGCTGCTCCACTTCCGATCCAATTCTCTGCTATGGCCTGGGAAAGCAGTGGAAGATGGCCCAAGTCCTTGGACCCCTGCACCCACATGGGAGACCCGGAAGAATCTCCTGGCTTTGGATTGGTGCTGCTCTGGCCGTCGTGGCCATCTAGGGAGTGAATCAGCGGTCAGAAGACTTTCTCTCTCCCTCTCTCTCTTTCTGCCCCTGCCTCTCTGTAATTCTGTCTTTCAAATAAATAAGTAAATCTTTTAAAAAATGTCTAGGGGTGGGGCCGGCACCGTGGCGCAGTAGGTTAATCCTCTGCCTGCAGTACCAGCATCCTATATGGGTGCCGGTTCTAGTCCTGGCTGCCCCTCTTCCAGTCCAGCTCTCTGCTATGGCCCGGGGAAAGCAGTAGAAGATGCCCCAAATGCTTTGGGCCCTGCACCCACGTGGGAGACCAGGAAGCAGCGCTTGGCTCCCAGTCCTGGCTTCGGACCTGTGCAGCTCCTGCCGTTGCAGTATTTGTGGAGTGAACCAATGGAAGGAAGACTTTTCTCTCTGTCTTTCCCTTTCACTGTCTGTAACTCTAACTCTCAAATAAAATAAGTAAAATCTTTAAAAGAAAAAGTCTAGGAACTGGTCCAGAAGCCTGCACCCCATATCAGAGTGCTTGATCCGAGTCTAGCCTGTGCTTCCAATTCCAACTTCCTGTTGCTCTGCAGGTGATGGCTCAAGTAGTTGGGTCCCTGCCACCCAGAGACCCAGACTGAGACCCAGATTGGGTTCCTGGCTCCTGGCTTCCGCCTGGCCCAGTCCCAGCTGTTGCAGGCATTTGGGGAGTAAACCAGTGTATGGGAGATCTCTGTGTGTCTGTCCTTCTCTGTCTCTCTGCTTATCAAATAAATAGAAATAAATTAATTCATTAAATAGGTATTTACTTTGAATGACATGTGAATTACATTTCAATGAAGCTTTTTTTTTTTAACTTTTTTAATGTTTGGGGCAAGAACAGGTATTAATGTAGTGCATGGGCCCATGGAGCCGGATTTACAAGTAACAGAGAAAGCAGCGCCTTTACCGCTTAGTGATCCAGGAAGGAGAACGCGGTTAAACGTGAATCGAAGCCCAGCGTGTGGGGAAGATGAAGAGGGAGCCCAGACTGTGGCCGGGTAAGTTACCTCCCAGGGCTCTGAAGAACTTGCAGGTGCAGTTACTATTTAATCAGAGAGAGGTGGGGAGGCAAGAGAAGGCCTGGAGACCGCACACAGCAGAGGTCTCAGAAAGCAGCAAGGGTGGAGTGAAAGCAGAAGGAATCGTCCAGGTGCCTTCATGAGCTCAAGCATTTTTGCAAACTGAGCTCTGTAAGGGAGAGCCCTGGTCGGCTCAGCCACACCTGTATCCTCAGCGCCTAGACCCCTCCCTGGTCCATGACAGGCCTGCAAATATTGGTTTAAGATTGAATGCTGCCTCCCCCGGAGTTGGCCTGGGAGGGAGGCCAATCCTTAGGCCGGAAGGGGACACAGTGACTTCTGGACGAAAAAGCAGCGAGAGTTTGAGGAGCTGTTCTCTGGTATTCGGTATGTTTGTTTTTGTTTGTCATTTTTGGTTAAAATTTCGGTTCAAATTTGGCTAATTGCTTTTCCTGCATCCATTGAGATAATCATATATCTCCTCTCCTTCATTCATTTAATCTGGTGGGTTTCATTAATTTCTTTTCTTTTTTTTAAGGTTTTATTTATTGGGGCCGGCGCTGTGGTTAATCCTCCGCCTGCTGCACCGGCATCCCATATGGGCACCGGTTCTAGTCCCAGCTGCTCCACTTCCCATCCAGCTCTCTGCTATGGCCTGGGAAAGCAGTGGAGGATGGCCTAGGTGCTTGGGCCCCTGCACACACATTGGGGACACAGAAGAGTCTCCTGGCTCCTGGCTGCAGATCAGGTCAGCTCCAGCTGTTGTGGCCATCTGGGGAGTGAACGCAGCGGATGGAGGATCTCTCTCTCTGTCTCCCTCTCTGTCTATAACTCTGCCTCTCAAATAAATAAATAAAATCTTTTTTAAAAAAGTTTTATTCATTTATTTATTTATCTGAAAGACAAAATGACTGAGAAGGAGAGAGAGAGAGAGAGAGAGAGAGAGAGAGAGAGATCGCGCTTCCATCTGCTGGTTCACTCCCCAAATGCCTACAACA